TGTAAAGCGCTTTGAGTGGAGTGTCCAGAAAAGCGCTATATAAGTGTAAGCAATTATTATTATTATTATTATTATTATTGCATATATTCAGCAAGGAGAGAGCTGGGATCAACAAGTTGGCTGCTTGTTGAAAGAAATATGAAGACAAAATAATAATTATTGCTATTATTGTTGTTGTTCTTTTAAGTGGGGAAAAAATGTTATGTGAGTGCCTGTAATCTTAATTCATTAATGCATTTTCTTCCAAATTTTCTTCAAATATTTGTTTATAGGAATTCTCTTTCAGGTTTAGATTCTGAATTACATGATTGCCATTTTATAATGATTGGATTTAATAATGGATGAAATTCTAATTGATTTCATTGGACATGAAGAATTGTAATTAAAGGAATTGGAATGATCTGAGTAGGGAATTGAATTGGAGTTAGTGGAATAAATCCAAGTTTGATGAGTATACACTCTCTTGTATGTTTAAATTTTGTGTGAAAGTAATTATCCAGTCAGATTGATATTCATGCTTTTTGCAGTGTGGAAATTTTATTTTAGTTAAAAACCTATAACTGGGGAGGAAATGGCACTTGAATAATGGGTTTGATGATTCTGCCTAGAGGCCTGTATTCATGGTATGTATAATAAGGATAGGAATAGCGATAAATCAACAAAAAGCACTTGTTAATCTTCTTGGTTTTCACTCATGATATGAGTTTTTTCTTATGACCTTTATATGAAGTGACTTGTTACATTTCACATAGTCTGTGAAATACTACAGTGTTATACCATACTAATGCCTAAATGTTATAGGAAAGATGATTAAAGAACTATTATACCCTAATGTACTCAATGCTACAAATGTTTATAATTTTTCAGATTAAATAAATAGGGCAAATAATTACACTTGGCTAACTGTTGATGTTCTCCTTAAATCTTAAAAATTGGATTTAATCTGATCAAAATAAAAACATCAGTGTTAGTCAGCATGGACTTAAATGTAAGTCTTCATCTATTTAAAAATAAAAATGTAAAATTAAGTGCAGTACAATATTACGTGTGCTACAAAAGATTTTTTACTTCATTACAAACAAGTTTTCGGGGTTACTGGTCTGATTTTGTTTTGAATATGTGCAAACCTGTATATAAGCTTTTTAAAGGACATTGAACTAACTCTTCATGACAGTTGTGATTTAGCAGATTTAATACTTCAAGCATGTATAAGGGACACCTGATTTTGGAATTGTAATCCGACCCATATAATGCATTTGTGTTGCAGTCCCAGTTTACAGGTATTGGATGTCTCTCACACAATGTAATGATATAATGAAGAGTTTGTTGTGGGGGTGTCACCATTTAGTAGATAAACAATATGCCATGACTGAAGCATATTTGAATTTACATAAAACTGCACTTAAATGAAAAAAATACCAATAAATATTACCAAGTTTATCAATGTGTAAATGACCAATATACATTGTGCTAGCACAATTTATAGAGGAAGAGTTATGTGTTTATGTGGAGTACTTTAAGTATATACATAGGCTGCTAAATACTGACATAATGAAGCCTATTTAGTATCTCGGAGAATCCAGTAAAAAAGGCATAAAGTAAGGCACAGTAGTGTAATCTTAATTAATAATAATAATTACTTACACTTATATAGCGCTTTTCTGGACACTCCACTCAAAGCGCTTTACAGGTAATGGGGATCCCCTCCACCACCACCAATGTGCAGCATCCACCTGGATGATGCGACGGCAGCCATAGTGCGCCAGAACACTCGCCACACATCAGCTATTAGTGGGGAGGAGAACAGAGTAATGAAACCAATTCATAGAGGGGGATTATTAGGAGGCCATGATTGATAAGGGCCAGGACGCCGGGGTTACACCCCTACTCTTCACGAGAGACGCCTTGGGATTTTTAATGACCACAGAGAGTCAGGACCTCGGTTTTACGTCTCATCTGAAGGACAGCGCCTGTCTACAGTATAGTGTCCCTGTCACTATAATGGGGCATTAGGACCCACATAGACCGCAGGGTGAGCGCCCCCTGCTGGCCCCACTAACACCGCTTCCAGCAGCAACCTTAGTTTTTCCCAGGAGGTCTCCTATCCAGGTACTGACCTGGCTCACACTTGCTTAGCTTCAATGGGTTGCCAATTGTGAGTTACAGGGTGACATGGCTGCTGGCTAATTAAAAACACGTCAATATTTCAGAATCAAACAGGCGGAACAAGGGTCTTAAAAAGCAAAGTTCTTATACAGGTGGATGTAAGTTGCGCTTCAAGTTGTAATACGGGGTCAAAAGAAATACCAAGATCTCTAGCTTCCATTAATGCTGTGCAACAAATTGAAGTCTTTAAGAAGCTGATGTTGGGATCTTGTTTTAGTTTTGCTCAAGATCTGTTGCGTCCATATACTATATCTATATCTATACTATAGGGCTGGGCGGTATAGATGGTATACCGGTAGAAATATGTGCCACGGTATGGATTTGGCTATAACATTTTTACCGGTAGAGAATGGATTTTGATGTTTACATAGATTGCGGCGCCACCATAGTCGCAGAACAGGGTTTGGAAATTTTTACTATTGACCCGTCATAGTTTAAAATTAGGCCGTATTTTAGCTCCAATTATGTCATTCTGAAAATATTCATCTTGCTGATATTTGGACATTTGGAAATATTCAGAATTTTTTATCTTCGGTGGTTCAGACGTCTGGTTTATGGCGCATCTGAGGTCATTGTGGCCAATAAAAACACGCTGTCTTCCTCTTCCCCTTTCCATGAACACAAACGCACGTGTTCAGTGTGCTTGTCTGCAAACACAAATATGCGGAGAACTGGAGAAAGGCAGCGTTAGCGAGACGGGAACAAGCGACAAAATTGTTGAAAAGAAGAGTGCTTCATTGGTTGTTTGGAAAATGGTTTGTGTTTGGAAATTGTCTTACTGGCATTTAATCTGTAACCTGAAGTTACAGCCATTTTAAGTCTTTGCTCAATATACATACTGGGAAATAAATTATATATTAATACAGCATGAATATTTTCTCTTTTAATTATCTGTTAGGTAAATGTCAAATTGTATTAAGTAAGTGCACTTGCACTGCATTACTAAGACAGTTAAATGAATATACTGTAGGACTTAATCCATGATCTGTCAACCACCGAAGTAGTATGTGAAGCCAATAAATACAATTTAATTTGCAGACACTCCAGAGAAATTCATGCTAAAAATGTTTCTTAAACATCAAAAAAGTAATTGTAGTCTTCTGTGAAATGTGCTTGAATGCCTGGCTGGTCAGGTAGATGGCGAGTTAAGACTGGGTAAGAATGTCACAACCACTCAGCAGGACACATGAGGTTATAAGTGTTTTTCATAAAGAAGAGATGCAAGCTGCTTTTTATTCTGCTTTCTTCCCTCATCAGGGGTCTGTCTGGACTGAGTTTAAATGATGTGCTCTGTTGCTTTGTTCGTCTTTTGGGAGAATAAATTGGAAGAATGAATAGATTTGTTGTCCAATGAGTAGTAATTTTCTTCTAGCAAGATTTTCTGAGACTGCAGGAAAGGCAACTTATTTTATGTTCAAAGAAATACCTTGGAAAGGTGGTTCATAAATGGGAAATTAGGATTTTGAGATGTTGTATACAAATAATTGGAATGAATTTTTGAGAACGATTGTGTGCTGCTGCAATCGCCATTTTTTGTTTTTCAAATAACATATTTAAAAGGGATAAAAATAATTCATTTTTAAATTTAAATTTGAAATCAGTTTAATAAAATGGTGCTAACTATTTTTTTTCTTCTCTTTTTAGTATTATGTGCCAAGAATCTGGCAAAGAAGGATTTCTTCAGTAAGTAAAATCAATCCAACCTGATCTTTTCATGTTCTTTTTTAAATTGTTACACAAATGGCTATTTTCTTTATATTGTAAAGAGTTATGGGATATATAATATACTCAAAATATAAAATTATTAAATCTGTCTAAAAATAAGAATTGGATGAGAAAGGGGTCAAGATACCATAGTGCTATGCAAGCAAATCATAAAGTTAATAATTCCACCCCGTAAAGTCAAGGAGTACTGAGTTTTAGGTGGCAAGTGTTGTTTTTTCTTCAGCACAGTGCAATAACCAGGCCCAAACATGGACAGCACAAGTACTTCATTAATTCATTTAGTATTTCACTACTAAATATATGTACAATTCAGTGAGTAGCAGAGGTCTGCCTTCTACTGACATTATTCTGCCTTCTACAGAAAATCCCAAAGTTCAGCCCCCCTTAACAGGCCAAAGGGGAATCTGTCTCTAATTAAAAACCAAGCCTAACCAGGATTAAGTCTCCTTGTCTTAACAGATGCTCACAAATGCATGGTTACAGTTCTTCCTACTCTAAACAAGGTGTCACTCTAACAGTAGAGCTGATTTCCACCTGTAGATTACACAGCAAAGGAAATCAGAATTTCCAGATAACAACGTGTCATAATTGTAAGGGTCAGAAGTCCTGTGCGTTCAGAATACCTGGACTGAATCTGGTTTCCACCCAAAAGAAAGGGAAAACTCTCACATTCTTCTTGTGATCAGGATGATGATGTATGTTGTTCCTGTCTGTTCTGCTTCCTTTTTATGTTTATCCTTTCCTGACACCTGTTTTGTCCTCTTGATACATATCGTGGAGCTTGGCATAATGACCTCACTGGAATACCAGCTGGTCACTCATAAATATTGATGTTCAAGTATGCCTGACTTTATGGTTTAACTGTGAGTTTCTCCTGAGCTAACTAATGGTGCCATTCCTATTGTCATCTTTAACTTTGGCCAAGGCAGCTGTGTAAATGCACCAAGACATTTCTCGTTGTGTTTAAACCGTCAGAACAAGGTAATTAAGCTGAGAAATGCAAACGAGCTAATCCAGCTGCTCCCCTTACTGCAGCAAGAGAATTTTTTTAAAAGAGGTGGCTTTCACTTGATATGGTGTCATTAGTGTTTTGTGAAGAAAATGGTTGATGGCTATTGAATTTATGAAACTGGATTTGATTAGTCACAGCTAAAGTTCAAGTGTGAATCCGTTACACGTGACTGTAATCACAGGCCTGAATTTTTTTCATGACTTCTGGGGAGAAGTAACTGCATGACGACTTGGTCTAAGCATCAACTTGTTTGTATTTCAAGAGCAGCTTGAATGGTTTAACAATTCTGCTTGTACTTGTAACAATTACATATATAAGACTTTTCTGAAAAGCATGGAAAGGTATCCCCATCTGTTATACAGGGCCCTTAAGACTTATGAAGTCTTAAGGCTATGAAGTGACAAATCATATAATCTTTGTTAAATACTTATTGTCGACAGATTTCACAGAGATATTATATTTCGAATTGGTTACATTTCCAAATATAGCATTGTTTCATCTTACATTGAAATGAATTTTTGCTCTAAAAATTGTGTGAGAAATTAAATAGACATTAATGGTTCCCATTGGAACTGAAACTTGCTGGAAATATATTTGCGTGAAAAGAAGTAGTTTAAAATAATGCTCTGTTGACTGCAGTCAACAGTTTAAAAAAAAAAACAATTGAACAGAATTAACATTGTAGGACCTGACAGTATTTCAGAGTGGGGGGGAATGGAGGAGGGGGTGGGTGGAGGCATCACTGTAGCTGAAGCTGAGGTTCATGATGATGTGAAACTGTATCTTCCGGGAATATTGAATTACAATATTCTACTGTACACTCCCATTTCAAGAGCCAATAAGCATATTACACACAGCGGTCGATGCAAGTATTGCAAAAAGAACAAAAAAAGGCTTTTATGATCTTAGAATTGCACTCTCATTTGACAAAAGCAGAATGTCATGCACTGCCTGCTTTGAAAGACCTGCAGCTATCAAAACAAGTTTGTTAATGACCAAGGAATTCACTGCTTAGACGATCTCTCTTAATTGTCCTCATTGTCTTAGTGTTACTTCTCGGTGATTTTATTTCACCAAGAACATTTCAGTTAGTGTTTTGTCAGTGAATATCTAAGAGCTGTAATATTTTTTCCGGAGACGTGTTTGTGTCATGCATCTAATCAGGGCCTTATAATTTAATTATAAGTGATAACTGACTAATACGTTTTGGGTTATATACACACTCCTTTCACATTCTGTCTTGTTGCATACACTGCCTTCTTTTTGTAAGATGATTCAGGCTCCTCATGTGTTTTGTCACAGGGTTACCTGACCCTTTCGCTAAAGTAGTAGTAGATGGATCCGGACAGTGCCATTCCACAGACACAGTCAAGAGCACATTGGACCCCAAGTGGAACCAGCATTATGACCTGTGAGTGATTTAACTTTTTCTAGAGTGGACTTTGAGAATAAGCCAAGAGAAGCCTGTGATTGCTACTGCGACAGGTCAGGAGTCACAATGAGAAGTAATCAGCTACATAATTGTGCAATGGCAAAAGAGATGGCATCATTTCACATTGGCAGTTTGTGGTTCATTTTCGATGATGAGCCAGTTTCAGCATTGTGCAAGAATTGTTGAACCACACAATATTTCATTAAGGAGTTACAAGGTAGCAAAACATACCTGATAGATGAATTTTAGTTATTTTGCAAAATAATTACATACTCAAAAGAGCTATTGATGGAAAGACAAACATTCATTGATTTTGTTTAACTAGAAGAAAAACCTGCAATGAAAACAGTTCTACCAGTATATCACATTTGGCAAAGACAAGATAATGCTAGCATTTTTTTTTTCTCCTAGAAATTCCCCATGTCATAGTGGTGCTGTAATGTATCAATGAGTGCAGACTACCTCTGGCGCCTCATAATACTTTGTGGAAAGAATTGATTAATCATGTCTTCTGAATACTGAACAGGTCCTTATATACCACAGTATTTGTATGATCCATCTCATGAAATATCTTTATTGATTATTGTTTTCCAGGCAATACACTTGACAACATGTTATTGTCTTTAACAAAGAAAAGAATATTGTTTGTTTAATGGAAAAAATACCTGCCACAGTTTTTCTTGACTTAAAGGTGGATATTAATGTCTTGTTGTATTTGAAAATATAATGTCCTTTGTATTGACACAAAACTGTGCTCTTTCCCTCCTTAACTAGATATATTGGGAAAACCGATTCCATAACCATCAGTGTATGGAACCACAAGAAAATCCATAAGAAACAGGGAGCTGGCTTCCTGGGCTGTGTGAGACTGCTGTCCAACGCCATTAGCAGGCTAAAGGATACTGGCTGTACGTTTACACCTCAGACAAGGAGCTGCAGTAAACCTACATTCAACCTTTTATTACTCTTACTTAATGAATAGATAGATTAATCGTTCAAGTATAAAAAAAATCTAACAAAAGCTCTAATTCAACAAAAGACAGTTGTCTTACTCATAGTTTTTTGTATAAACGCAGTCATAATTCTTTAACTTTATGACATTTCGTACATCAGTATGTAGCGAGACATGAAAGGCCATTGCTAAACTGATTATCTAAGCAAGTCAGATAAATATAATATGGGGGTGATCAACTTTGAACCCCTTTTTTTAGCATTTTCTATGTTTTAACATGTTGTAATGAATAGTAAGATATTTTACTGAAAGGTTTTATTAAGCTGTTGTAAGGTATTGTATTAACTGAAGTGCAGCTTTAAACCTGATATTTTTCAGTTCACTTAATTTTTTTTCACCCACAGATCAGCGTTTGGATCTATGCAAATTAAACCCCACTGACAGCGACACAGTTCGGGGCCAAATTGTAGGTAAGGACCTGTAAAAAAATAAAGCGTTATTTTTATTATGCCAGTAAAGCAATGTCAGAGTACTCTGTAAAGAAGAAAACACAGTGCAGTCCACAAGTATCTGGACAGTGATACAATTTTTGTTGTTTTGGCTCTGTACTCTAGCACATTGGATATCAAAGTGCAGAATGTCAGCTTTAATTCGACGGTATTTACGCCTATATTGGGTGAACCATATAGGAATCGCACCCCTTTTTATACGTAGTCCTCCCATTTTAGGGGACCAAAAGTAATTGGACATTTGGCTGCTCAGTTGTTTCTTGGCCAGCTGTGTGTTGTTGCATCATTAGTTCATGCACAGGAGACCTAACAAAAGGTCTAGAGTTGATTCTAGATGCGGCATTTGCATCTGGAGTCTGTTGCTGTTGTCTCTCAACATGAGGACCAAGTGTTAATGCCAGTAAAGCGGGCCATCTTAAGGCTGAAAAATCAGAATAAATCAATCGGAGACAAAGCCAAAACATTAGATGTGTCAAAATCAACTGTTTGGTACATTGTTAAGAAGCCAGAATGCACTGGTGAGCTTAGCAATAGCAAATGAGCTGGTAGACCACGGAAGACCACAGTAGTGGATGACCGAAGAAAAAACCCTTTTCAACTGTTGTACAGATCAGGAACACTCTCCAGGATGAAGGCATAGATGTTTCAAAGACTACCATTAAAAGAAGAATACACCAGCATAATCTCAGAGAGTTCATCACAAGATGCAAACCACTGGTACGAAAGGCCAGGTTACATAAAAAGCCTCTAAGAGTTCTAGGACAAAGACTTATGGACAGATGAGAAGAAGATTAACCTGAACCAGAGTGATGGAAAGAGAAAACTATGGAGAAAAAATGGAACTGTTCATGATCCGAAGCATACCACCTCATCTGTGAAACATGGTGAAGGCAGTGTCATGGCCTGGGCATGTATGGCTGCCAGTGGAACTGGCTCACTTGTCCTTATTGATGATGTGACTGCAGACAGTGGCAGCAGGATGAGTTCTGAAGTGTACAGAACCATCTTTTCTGCTAAGATCCTACCAAATGCCTCAAAACTCATTGGATGGCATTTCACCTTGCAGTAGGACAGTGACCCCAAACATACTGCTAAAGCAACCATGGAGATTTTCAGGGCCAAAAAGTGGACTGTTTTTGAGTGGCCAAGTCAATCACCTGACCTGAGTCCCGTTGAACATGCATTTCACTTACTGAAGACAAGACTGAAAGCAAAACCCCCCGAAACAAGCAGGAACTGAAGATAGCTGAATTACAGGCCTGGCAGAGCATCACCAGGAAAGAAACCCAATATCTGGCGATGTCTATGGGTCACAGACTTCAGGCAGTCATCAATTACAAAGAATTTGCAAACATCCTAAATTTTATTTAAGATTGTTAATATGTCCAATTACTTTTGGTTCCATGAAATGGGGGGGCTATGTATAAAAAGGGCCGTGATTCCTATATGGTTCACCCAATATAGAGGTAAATACCCTTGAATTAAAGCTGACATTCTGCACCTCATAGTCATTGTTTTATTTCAAATCCAATGTGCTGGAGTACAAAGCCAAAACAGTAAAAATTGTGTCCCTGTCCAAATACTTATGGACTGCACTGTATGTCCAGAAAACGTTCAAAAGCAAACTAGGGGGTGGAAATATGGGTGTATTTTGTAGGAAATTTAACTTTTGTCAGATTATCTTGTTGCTTTTATGTTAAATAATAGCATTTGTAAAAAATGATAAATTGTTTTAATAATAATAATAAATTGTTTTCTACAACGAACCAAATTGACCTTTTTTTCAGTAAGTCTACAGACCCGGGACCGGATAGGTAGTGGAGGACCAGTGGTGGATTGCAGAGGACTTTTAGAAAATGAAGGGTAAATAATGTAAAAAAAAAAGAATGTTTTATTTTTTTCTGTGGAATATTAAGCTTCTTTGATTGAGTACTGCCACCTATTGGTCAAATATGGAACACGTTCATAGTTTTCTATTCGCTGATTGTTCTGGTTGGTGATTTATTGAAATAATATTCAGTTCTGAAAAAAAGTATGGTGGATAGTTTTCAATTCAGATTTCCCTGGGAAACCTGACACACGATTTAGGATTTGGGCAACGCTAGGGATTACAGCAATATGTACTATGATGAAACGGGATCATTTGATAAACTTTGAAGATCTATCACAACAATACAATCTGGAAAAAAGATTTTTACAGATATCTATAAATCAGATATTATGTAAACAGCTGGAGAAAGCAACAATATATAAAGGAAGGCAATAAACTGCTTGATAATTTTATAGCTGCTTATCACCAGGGTAACTTGAGAAAAATAATATCAAAGATGTACAATCGTATCGAATATATGAAAAAAGACTCAATTATATTAATATATATTAAATAAAATGGGAAAAAGAAATCAATACAATTATTTCTGTAGATCACTGGAATTACAGATTCAACAAGGCTCTACTCGTTCACAGACCTGGAGAAACTTCTGTGAGAATCTGACCCGTTTTTTTATCAGCCCTAAAATTCAAGCCAAACAAAAAGGCAGCAGTTCACAGTGTTGGAGGTTATGTGGAGAGCAAGTTGTGACGCATTCACACATATTCTGGTCATGCCCAGAAATACAAAAATACTGGATATCTATACATGTAGCCCTTAACAATATAGTAAATTTGAACATACCATTTTAATGGATTCATTTTATCTCCCCACAGAGACCTGATTTCAGTTTATGAGCGAATATACAGTGATATTTCTGTGTAGACTATTTTGTTGTTTGTTGTTTTTCTCATTAAACAACTGTATTTTCTTGTATAACCCCCCATATCTGCTGGCATAATGTACTTTATTTTATAAGTATGTATGGACATAATGTAATCAAAGATGAAAGCAAATGTTTATTTTGCTGTTTTGGACTTGTTCTATTTGGAAATCTTTTCATCGCTAATTAAGTTTAAAATTATATATATATTACAGGATATACACATTCAAGGATTAGCATAAGTCACCAGCAGGTCCACATGAATATGAGTTGTATAAAAATGTAAATGTGAAGATCCCATATTTGTGAGCAGGGTCTTCAAGCTTAACAGGTAAAGTTTGCAATCACATATCTTGCCATTTAATCACACGTGGGAAGTTTTGAAACATCACTTGGAGCACATTAATTAAAAAAGGTTTAAATTACGGTACGTAGGGCGTGCCATCTGAGGGAGATGTGCTTTGGATTTTCCTAGACCAGTGTATGAAGATTCGGGACCAGGAAGGCCACTAAGCTGCTTCATGGAGGAGCCTCTGCCATACACCGACAGCACAGGAGCTGCAGGAGGGGGCAGCTGCCGCTTTCTGGAATCGCCCAGTCAAGAACAAAGACTTCAGGCACAACGGATCAGAAATCAGGAGCCCAGAGGTCACGCACACACTCCTCAAAACCGACCACATGGGCATCAGTCACCTGAGCTCCCTGAGGGTTACGGTGAGCCATTTCTGCATTATTCTCAAAGGAAGCTGGTAGCACTCTTTATCTTTGGGAGAGACTATACGCATTATATGATGGGCAAGAAAGCAGCTCTCACGTGGCTAAACCAGGAAAGTCACCTGTTGTAAGAGCAGGTTGTGATCTGTTCATATCCGTCCTATGCCATTAGCCTTTTGAGGCTGGGATTTGTAGGGCACCCCTATCTCGTGAGTGGGCTTTAATTAGTCTTTGAACATTTGCGATACCTGTACTAAAAGAAATCGATACATTTACAGCGTTGTCAGTGAGCGAGGTGTCTCGTCACCATGCTGACAGCTTACTCCTTTTTGGGGTATGTCACCGTAGGCCTGCCGGCATGAAACATGCAGAAGGAGTCTGGCAGCCCACTTGTTGGGGAGAAAGACTACATATTCTCACTCATCCTGTGGTGACTCCAAATTTGGAAATTGTGAAAAATAGTGATTCTGAATTATTCAGTTTGAAAAACCAATTGTGTATTGTTAGAAGAAATTATGAAGGATTTACTGGATATCCTACTCCCTTCAGTTTTGTTTCACAGAAGGGTTCTATAATGCATAGTTTTTATTTGTTTTTGGCTTTAAGAGCTTAGATTTGTAGAAACAGATAAGCTCTGTTAAGTTGTCTGAATGGATGACAATTAATTTTTAAAGTGGTTATATACCCTTCCAGTGAGTTTTTTATGGAACAAGAATTACATTGCACAGCACTAACAAACTCTGTACTTTAACTTTTTGGATTTAAAGGGTGAATGGTTTCAAATAAACATTTCACTATTAAATTATTCACATGTGATTATATGTGATTTTAACTAGAATTATTAAGCTGGTAAATTGATCAGAAATTATTTCTTTTCCCACAGAGCAAAGGACAACAGTACAAGGCCAGGTTTATTTTCTGCACACACAGACTGGTGTAAGTACTTGGCATGACCCACGAATACCAAGGTAGGTTAAGAACCGATTAGTGTCATATAATTAAAGTTTCTGAGTGGCTTTACCAAGTTGTTTTTACCTGACGAGGGAAAAATGTAAAAATGTTTTTAAAAAAGTTTAAATAGTCAATTCCATTAGCGGTAACATGGGATAGTTGGACATCTCCTCTGGTGTGCATGCCTCTACATCTTTGTGTGTCCACAGTTTGTGTGAGTGAAATATTAATGCACGTCTCTATGTCATTCCTCCTGCAGAGACCTCAACAGTGTGAGCTGTGAAGATCTAGGGCCTCTGCCCCCTGGCTGGGAGGTCAGAAGTACAGTGTCAGGAAGAATATATTTTGTTGACCACAACAACAGAACAACACAATTCACTGACCCTAGGTTACACCATATAATGAGGTAAACACTTCTACCCAGTGATACCTGGACTGTAAAATCAAATTAAGACAAAGCCATCTTAATAATCAGTATATTAGAGGTAACAAGTGGATTAACCAGTTACCTTTTAAGCTGATATTTGATGCACAATTGTCTGCATCGATCTTTAGTTACGTAATGATAATGTCCAATATGTGTATAGATTTTATCAGAAATGTCCCAACCCAGCATTTTAGTGTTTCATAAAAACATTTGCATTATGTATCCAAAATGTTATTTAAATTACGATTCATATTCACCTGTTTGCTGTATGCAGAACGTATCGATGGGAAGGCACACGCATATGCACTTTAATTCTAATATCTTTTTTCGACTGTTTCGGTTGAACTGTTAGTTATTCCCATCTATTTCTGTGCTTGTGGCCCTGCCGGTATTAGGAGGTCTGATCAGTACGGTATAAGTCCGTGAATCTGTGTCTGAAGAGCGTGTTTGTTGTGGTGCCACAGCCAGCAGTCTCAGGTGAAGGAGTCCAGCCAGACTCTGCCCACGCAAACTGAGGTGTCGGTGGAGGAGGGGGAGGGCGAGGTGCCCGTGCGCTACGAGAGGGACCTGGTGCAGAAACTCAAAGTGCTCCGGCACGAGCTATCCCTGCAGCAGCCCCAGGCCGGGCACTGTCGGATTGAAGTTTCCCGGGAGGAGATATTTGAGGTGAGGTCTCAGAACTGCGCTGCGTGTGTAGGCTTGGCTTGCTTAACATCCGGGAGTGATGCGTTGTTTTTGGCTCTTGAGGAGAACATCAGCTGGAAATTTTGCTTTTCTCCTAGAGAGCCACCATATAACAGGTGTTATAAATCACCATTGAGTAGCCTATTTCTAGGTTTAAGCTGGTGATTGGTTAATCGAAGTAATTTATAGATAAATTGGGTCATAATTTATAGATATATTTATAGATAATGAATGTATAGATAATTTATAGATAATACAGTTCTAACTGACCAGAATACTTTTTAATCTATTTGATTAATAAATCATAGGTATTTCCTAACTTTTTGGATGACGTAAAAGACTGGATTGGACTCTCCAGGACAAGGATTGGAGATTGTTTAAATTAGTTCCAGCTCAGTTCAGAATGACCTATAGCAGCTCATTACTGGTCTCACTGGTCCAATGAGCTTCTCCAGCTCTTAAGGGCGGTTGTTATGAATCAACCTAGAAAGCCTGCTCAAACTGCAATGTAATTTTCTTTCAAACTGAAGCTTCACATTCCTGATATCTTTGTATTTTATGTGAGTGCCACCAGCAGATGTCAGTGTATCTTTGCAGACATAGTTACACACGTCTGCTGAGGAACAGGTCAGGATTCTGAGATTCTAAATTTAAGGATATTCTGTGCTGTGGATGAATGACCAACCTGAGACATTCTCAGTTCAGCACAACAGCTCTTCCTCTTATTAATATTGTTTTGTGTCATGAGAATATAAATAATTGAGATCAAAATAAATTAAATTGTGTTTTTTTTTTACTCAGTGTACTGTCTGTTTCTATGTGTGTTGCAGATGTTTTTTAAATGTATTTTGCAGATTTAATCTGCAATATTTTGTCCGTAATATTTTATTAGCCTGTTGTTCTTCTAGGAGTCTTACAGGCAGATCATGAAAATGAGGCCCAAAGACCTGAAAAAACGGCTGATGGTGAAATTTCGTGGTGAAGAAGGGCTAGACTATGGTGGTGTGGCTCGGTGAGTGTGTCAATGAGACTATGACTGGGGATGTCAAATGTCTTCCCTATTTGGAGTTGTTTTATAGTGAAGTAATACATTTAAAATTGTAATTAATGAAATCATTTGTATAGTACATTTAGTTTTCTTCATGTTTCCTATTATTCATAAGCTGACAGGACCTATAATAATGTCACCAGCTGCAGTGATCTTATGTAATTCCATCATTCTTTTCTCTGTTTAGGGAGTGGTTGTATCTCCTGTGCCATGAGATGTTAAATCCATACTATGGGCTCTTCCAGTACTCTACAGATAATATCTACACTCTGCAGATAAATCCTGACTCTTCAATCAATCCTGTGAGTGAAATGTTTGCTCTCGTGGGATAGACATTTGACTTAGTTTATCATTTGGAGTCATCTACAGCATAAACTTCCTTACTGTATTTTTTGGAAAACATAGTTCAGTACTGAACAAAATAAGGGTACTGCTAACCATGTGAGATCTCTCAGTATTTCCCTGTGTGGTGTGTTCTTTCTTGCTATATAGCTATTCCAGCCCTAATAACAAAAACTCTTGGTGTGTTGCAGGACCATTTGTCTTATTTCCACTTTGTTGGCCGAATAATGGGCTTGGCAGTTTTCCATGGACATTACATTAATGGTGGATTTACACTGCCTTTCTATAAGCAGCTGTTGGGAAAGCCCATCCAGCTGTCAGACCTGGAAACCGTGGATCCTGAGCTGCACAAGAGCCTAGTATGGATTCTGTAAGTCAGGACGCACTTTTTTCGTATTTTGTGAGTTAAGTCTTAAGCGCTTGAGGTTTGGTGAGTTTTGTATGTGGCAGAAAACATCAGTGAAACGCTGCTGTGAATGATGACCTGAAAAAGTCCTCAATAGCTTGGGGTTAAACAGCATGAAAATGGGATGCCAGAAACCTTTTCGTAGAAATCCATTTCTCAGTCTTGACCTATTTAGACTTATAAATACAATCTAATAAAATTGTGGTTTTTTTATAGTGAGAATGACATCACCCCTGTTCTGGATCATACATTTTGTGTAGAGCATAACGCATTTGGCAAATTTCTCCAGCACGAGCTCAAACCAAATGGTAGAAACATTCCAGTAACGGAGGAGAACAAAAAGGAGTATGTAAGGTGAGTATGTAAGTGCAGTGAATTTTAATAGATTGTTGTCTAGTGTGACTTCTTCTTTTAAATGTATAATTGCCACTGCTTTGTTTTCTACCATCTCGATGGGAAATGCCAGGTAACAGAATATAAGATCCTGTGCATGCACTCCTCCAGCATGCCAAAATGCGTGTCAGAACTGTTCACTGTTTGACACTTTGTGAACTCCTCACTGCTTTATTAGGAGAACTAGCACTGCCTGGAGAAGTGATGTCTCTTATTGGTATCAGTGCAAGTTTGCAAGTGCTGGATGATCCCAGAAATCGCTGTTGCAGCTGAGGCAGCCCTGGCTGGCTAAAGCCCAAATTACTGTGGTTTCACTGATCTAGCCATCCGCCAGCACTTAGGGTAACCTGGCTAATGACATGACAAGGCTTGCCCCAATGGCAATATAGCCCCCCCACCAAGCACATGTTCACTGGGAAGGCCACGCATGAGCCCCTCTAGTGCAACCTCAACTGGATGAGCGTCACTCAGGAAGTACTGTCCCACAATTTATAAGTGTTGCCTAAATTCACTTGATGAAAGTGATGGAACATTTGGTCTGAGATTTTCCTTTCCCCATTTTTGTTACAGAAACAAAAATGGGGTGTTGCTTTCTGGGTGATCCTCATTTTAAATTATACTTTTTTCTTACTGTTTGATTCTGTCACTCTGTGTACCGACTGGGTGTCTTTAATCTGTAAGGGAAAATGTTGCATTACCTGTAAGTAAACCTGAGCTAGATAACTGGAATGCATTACTATCTTTGCCCTCAATGATGTTTAAGAACTTCCTTGTTTTGCCATAAATGACTCCATACTTGCCCCACTGAACCTTCTTCTGGTGAAGTTGCACAAAAATTGCTTTTCAAAACAAGTCCCGGAGGGTTTTGAAATATTGTGGGTCGGAAGCCTAGTCTGGATTTTGCAAACTATCCGGATGCACTGAGTGTAGAAATCAAGACATGGTTACATATGTTTTCTAGTACTTCATCTGAATTTTGATTTATGAAACAATGTGCTTTTTTTCAGGCTCTATGTGAACTGGAGGTTTATGAGAGGGATTGAAGCTCAGTTTCTTGCCTTGCAGAAGGGCTTTAATGAGTTGATTCCTCAGCATCTGTTAAAGCCTTTTGATAACAAGGAGTTAGAGGTAATGTCATTTTACAGAAAACAATACACATTTTGTGACAGTCTGTTTAATGTGGAGATGATGTAAATACTACATTTACATTAACATTAGTTAAAAAGGGTTTTAAAATTGTTTTTAGAAGATTTTTATTATGTTAATAATTATTCTCTTATTTCTAAGTATTCAAATAAGTTATGTAATGTTACAAATGGGGGATTACAAAATTGGTGAATATCAAGAATTGACCGAGCAGTTTAGTCAATAAGTAAAATAATTATTCATGACCCCCAACTTGTAAGTGATTTCTCCAGAACACACCTGAGCGGTTGGTATAATTAGAGGCTAATTAATTCTTTGTTCCCTTGCATAGCATTGGTGAAAAGAGTAATAATCCAGGCACACTTGGTTAAATAAATATTTATTAAATATGACAACAGAAACACTACACACAACAAAAACAACACACATGTTTCTGCATTTATACATTTATAATGTTCTAATCACCCAGAAAAACCCAGACTGCTACCAAGTATTTGACTTGGAGGCCAAAGAAGAGATAAGCTGCCTTCTAAATAAAACAGAATGCAAAATATCCTGAAGCAGGAAAGACCTTTTTAACTGACATATTATTGACTAAAAACACAGAATAGCAAACTGTCTCTACCAAGGTTCATATACTTAGTTCCAAACGGGTTTTGTCTGGATGATTATAAAGTAGAGGCTCTCTCCTGACGCAAGCTTCAAATTGCACATCCTTCTGACTCCTCTCTCTCTTTTCCTTTTACTGATCTGATCTTATATTGTATCTTTCTGAACTGTTGATTGACACTTAATCATTTACCCCGAATTTAATTCAAGTTAACCAGACCAGATTCTTTTGATCAATCTTGCTCACATGCAGCTCATCTGAGTAGAGGAAATATTGACAATAGTTAGGTATAACCCATTGTGTCTGGATTCTTATAGAGATCTCCATTTTTAACTTTTAAAAGATAATTTTGCTATCCTTTAGGACATATTATTGTTTAATATCTGGTTGTTGAGCTTTCATCTATTTCAATTTCATTAAGGTTTTTTTATGTTGTGGAAGTGTCTTTATCATATTTAAAACATTATTTTGTTGACTTTATAAGACGTCCGATATAGAAACACTTATATTTTAAGACAAAAATGCGTAATACACATGCATACTATAAGACAAGCATTTCCTAATCTGGTCCAGGGAGGCTGTACAGATGCAGCCATTCAAAGTTCGCAGTACAAACCCTTACCGCACGCAACTACGCATGAACCACCGCGCCGTACCGCGGTACGTGATTGGCTGGCCAAAATGACCGACAGGGTCCGTAGTGAAAAGATTTAGTCATTTAATCTCTTTACTGTGCACGTTTTAATCTGCTTAGTATTGCATATTTATATGGAATTTTACAACTAAAGGGAATTTTTAGTAGCTGAGCATAAAAAGAATAGAGCATAACGCATCTGGAGGTCATAAACGATATTAATTTAGGAACATAAACATATTATGTAAACTGTATATTGCTGGTGTTGGTAGTTTAAAGAAAAAATACACACCAGTATTCCATTTCTCCCTAAGCATTTTAAACATCAAAGTCTTACATGTGGTTATTTCGGAAATGTTTTCCGTGCTCCTTCTGACCATATTACTGTATTTTTATATACTTTGTGAAAAATGATCATTTTAACATTTTCTGCAAATGCGCTAATTATCGGAGTAGACAAAAGCATACATTTAGAATTTGGTTAATAGGGAATATAATATGGAATTGCGTATCTAAAGAAATTAATAACGATATAATTATATTCAGGTATTGTAGCACAAACAGTAGTATAAAACTTTCCATTTATATGTGTATTGCTGTTTCAGTGCATGTCAGATGACTGGATCGATAGCATGATATCTTAAGTGACTGACTTATAAGCCTGAGGTCGGGTGTGCAAATCCAGTAATCGCTATGAGTTTTCTTTTAACAAATAAACATTTCCTTGAAAAACTAAAATAGCAAATATTATGGACACTACAGTTTATTGACATTTTTTATATTTCTAAATATCACAACATGTTGGTACTGTATGTACACAGCGATACCGCAGGGTGTAGGGCGCAAACCCACGTGAGCCAATAACGCTACATCATTAATACGGTAATATCTTCCGTGTTGCGTTAACAAGTTTAAAAGGAGGAGACACTTTACAGTTTAACTCTTTAGTTCACAGAGAAATTTCACCAGAGCCACTTCTCTTCTTGTGTCTAATTTTTAGTTTAGAAGGATTCAATCAGGATTTCAGATGAAAGACCGTGACATCAAGCAAGCCCAAATCAAAGTTTAACCCATTCAGAGCCTACATTACATTTTAGCATTTCATTTTGAGCTGAAGACCCTCGAGAAGGCTTCACAGCCGAAACGTTGCGTTTTCTCTCTTCTCTTTTCAGCATGGAATAAACCTATTACTTGTTCCTTTGCAGATTACGCAGGCTGAAGTAGTCTTGTACAGTGATAATAGACGTGGGTAGTGTCATCCCCGTTAAACAATGTGCTTATCGCGCAAATCCTGCTAAACTAAAAGTGTGTATTGTCTGTTTAGGGTTCTGTAGCATTCCAGTTTATGTTTGTAGTTGCAAGAATAGCGATTACAAACATTAAAATCATACTTGCTTTATACTGTCCAACTGAGCAATCTTGGTTTTATAAAATATACCCACTTTTTCATGTTTAATGTGTACGATGCTGTAATACAGTTTATAAGAATTCAAAGTCTAAACAGTATCAACTTGAATTGTTATCTCTATTAATATAACTATCAAGTGGTATTAAATAAATACGGCTTTTTAGTATAGATAACACTTTTCTCAAATTGATTTAAAAAATAAAAACGATTACAATCTAATCTTTCCACGTTTGATCCCAAGAGGAAGTACAATACCCTCCTGCTGGAACAGCCCTCCCCCCCCCCCGGCTTTCCAATGAAAGACAGGTTCCTTTCGCCCAAGGCAGTCAGGAGAATTTGGAAACTCGCCACACCCGGATTGGTATAGTAACGCATTAGCAAGTTAAAGCAATTCCTTTGAAAAGCTGGGCTTGATTTTCCATTGAAAAGTTGGGCGCAGTGAATGTGAATTCTGTCTTGCATTGTCAGATTGTGAAAAATAAAAGTATTTTATGAAACACACATTTGCGATTTTAATCAAGATGGGAGTAAGGGGGTCTCTCTCTCCCATGACACTCTCCCTTATAAAATTAACATGAAACAAAACAAAAACAAAAAATAAGATACAGCCTTTTTTTTTACACAGAAGACTGACAGGTTCGCGTTGTGAATCTGTTTCTCTAAGAAAACGTGTCAGTCTGCCTGTGGGGGGAAGGTGGACTGTCTTTCATTGGAAGACTTGCCCTATTCTACTTTGAAAATGAATAAGCTGAGGAAACACTTGTGAAACCGGTTTGTTTACAAACAATGTAAGCACAGAGACCCAGACTTTGTGGAGTGAAATTCGGCACAGCCAGCACTCCCGAGAGAGAGAGCAGAGCAGACCAGACACAGGGGTGCAAAAACCGGGCGATCTCCCCAGACTGTACGCCCATTTCTAAGTTGGCCAGCTGCACCGGTCAGCGGCTTTCCTAATCCTCGCCCTGATCACTACCACTCCTGTCCTGCCCCTCAACGCGTACCCCAGCCGGGTGCTCTTTGGCCGCAGCGCCAGGCGAATGTGCAACATTAATGTGGGGCTTGCGGCTTCCTACGCCCTGCGGTACCGCTGTGTACATACAGTACGAACATGGTGTGATATTTAGAAATATAAAAATGTCAATATACTGTAGTGTCCATAATATTTGCTATTTTAGCTTTTCAAGGAAATGTTTATTTGTTAAAAGAAAACTCATAGCGATTACTGGATTTGTACACCCGACCTCACGCTTATAAGTCAGTCACTTAAGCTATCATGCTACCAATCCAGTCATGTGATATGCACTGAAAAAGCAATACACGTATCAATGGAACGTTTTATACTACTGTTTGTGCTACAGTACCTAAATATAATTATATCGTTATTAATTTCTTTAGATACGTGACTCCATATTATATTCCCTATTAATCAAATTCTAAAAGTATGCTTTTGTCCACTCTGATAACGAGCGTATTCGCAGAAAAGGTTAAAACAACCAATTTTCACAAAGTATATAAACGTACAGTAATATGGTCAGAAGGAGCACATAAAAACATTTCCGAAATAATCACATGTAAGACTTTGATGCTTAAAATGTTTAGGGAGAAATGGAGTAGTGGTGTGTATTTTTTCTTTAAACTACCAAGACCAGCCATATACAGTACAGTTTACATACAGCAATATGTTTATGTTCCTAAATTAATATATTTTATGAGCATGTGAAAGGCATACTTTGTATGATTGGAAACAATTGCGTGATCGGATCAACGAAATGCTGTGGTGTTACTTTTTGTCAATGAAAAAATAAAGTATTTTCGTTTACAAAGACGGTTACAAAGAATGTGGACCACGGTAATACTTTGAGTTTACAGCGTGTCCAAGGTCATTCATCATTAATACTATTAGTAATATCTTCGGTAAAGACTTTGATGCATAAAATACTTTTGCATACTTAAAATATTTATGATAAAGGTGGTAGGTTGTGTACTTTTGTCCAACTGAGCAATCTTGCTTTCATAAGATATAACAACTTTTTAATGTATAATGATTAACATGCTGTAATTCACAGTTTAAATTTAAACGTCTAAAGAGTATACAACTTAAATTCTTAATTGAATAAAGATTGTCCCTCAGCAGTGATCGGGATTCGAAACCGCTCAAATGCTGTACAGGAGAGGTTAAGCTGTATTAGCTCCACCTGCCGGTTTTACAAGGTGATTCCAGATACTATTAACATAATCTGATTTGCATACGGCATATTGTGGTATATTGCGACACGCCCACCAAGTTGTACCGCAGCGTACCCTGCTCGATTTGACTGGCTGCATCTGTATGTCTGCATATTTTCATTCTAGCTTGGCTCTTAACCTCCCTTAACCTTAAACTGGTTACTGGCTTAACTGGACCAATTTAACAGCTTCTACCAGCTCTTCAGATGCTGCTGATTAAAAGGATCTGGAACACCTGCAGACACACCAGCTAAGACTCCCAGATGCCCCTGCTGCAGGGTCTCAGTTTCAAATTCGCTTTAGCAAAACCACGAGCAACTAAGGCGAAACAATGTCAATGTGCTCTCTGAAGGAAATTTGAATTACATCTGTAATCTTCAATACCAGAGCTTCACTTTTTTGTAGGGTAAATGATTGTATTCGACTATAGTTACACGTTGACTCTGTTAAAGAGTGTTGTATTTTAACACTGTAGCTTGTTCACGGTGTAATTTTCTTGGAATTGCAGCTGATAATTGGAGGCCTGGGGAAGATTGACCTCAATGACTGGAAGGCCAACACACGACTGAAACACTGCGTGGCAGACAGCAACATCGTCAAGTGGTTTTGGCAGGCAGTGGAGTCGTTTGATGAAGAGAGGAGAGGGAGGCTTCTCCAGTTTGTTACGGGCTCTACCCGCGTGCCTCTGCAAGGGTTTAAGGCACTGCAAGGTGGTTATCGCATAAGCTGAGCTTCATTTGTGTATATTTATAGTCTCCTAATGCAGTTTTCATCCTTCTACTCTTTTCATTCAATGTTTTGCCTTCGTCATGCATCTACTGAAAATGTAGCCGTTTAGCCATTTTTAAGATAACAGTTAATCCTGACAGACCTGTGTTCTGGAATACAAAAAAGCAGTCTTTGAACTTCATGAATGTGTAGGGGAATGTAAATGACGAGCAGCACCTGACAGTGAGTCCATTCGCTGATTTGATTGACAAATAATAGCAGACGCCATTGATTGGGATTAACAATGAGTGTCTGAAGAATGGAGAGAATTCCCCCTGCTTAAGGAGTTATCTTTCACATAAGATAGTGTGATGGAGAAATCCAACGTTGTCTGAAATGTGCCAGTGCAGCCTTTGACTGGCCCAGGAAGCAGGTGTGGGAGGTCATTGTATCTTATATAATTTCATATATCTCAGTCATCATTCTTGCTTTACTCTACAGAGTTGAAAAGTGGGCAAACACATTGTAACTTAACTCTCAACCTTGTGACAGATTATATATACATGTGCTGATGATCTTTCAGAAAGGTCTAAAATCCTAAATATTTTATGTGTTTTAGGTCTTTTAGCACTGTTGACACTTTATTTGAATATGCCTCAAATCTTTTGAAAACTCAGTGAGGTCAAATTGAAAATATTGGTTTTGATGACCGTAAATAATAAACGTCTTATTGTGCTCCCTCTGTAGGGGACAACAATTGTAGAAGACATCAGTGTTTCCATCATGAATGAGTGGGTTGGAGTGCTGTGATAACTTGTCTGTTTTGTAACATGGCTATAATAGCCTGCATTCAATTCCAAGAGTGGTTTGGAATTGAAAGCACATTTATTGTAATACACCATCCCATTCATTGTTTGAACTTGATCTAAAATAAGTTCAAACATATTGTACATTATGTCTGTGCATAATTATGAGCAAAAGACTTTCCAGATTTTTTTTGCTGCTGTATTTTAAGTGCAAGTAGTCCTGGATCAGTGTTAACTAGAATGTGTGTTGGTAAGGTTCTACAGGTTCTGCAGGACCAAGACTGTTCACTATCCACTTGATAGATGCCAACACAGACAATCTGCCTAAAGCCCACACATGGTAAGATAAACTCTTCCTCATCTGTAATGATGCATTCTTTATTGAGTGAAGGAAATACTTCAAGAATGTGGAGCATGAGAATATTTAAACTATGCAAGGGAGGATGTTCTTGCAAGGGAGTCACAGTTTAGGAGATTAGGTATCGGTACGTTGTTTTTTTTTCATTTTTTTGTTGTTGACACGTACAAGCTGGAGTTAATTTTAAAGAGGTTTTCGAGTTTTATCTTTTCAAAAACTTGTCATCGAGTGTGCTTTAAATGGAATAAACTGTTTACCACGCATCTGCATGCATACTGTATCTCAGTCCAGAATTTGTGAACTTTTTCACTTTGTGCGAGGAACACAGCAGGTCCGTTTTTCTTTTTGATGGTTTTGGAATTGTTTAAAACATGAGTAATTGCTGCTTGTTTTTAGATTTAAGGATGCATTTCCTTTGGCGCATTCTTGCCATGAGGTTACTTGTGTTGAGTGCAGAGACCTAAAAACCCAGGTTTTATTTTCCCAGCTTTAACCGGATTGACATTCCACCTTACGAATCGTACGAGAAGCTGTTTGAGAAGCTCCTGACTGCGGTGGAGGAGACCTGTGGCTTTGCAGTGGAGTGAAGAGCTCCTCTTCAGTACGGGCTGCTTAGTGATGAGCAGTTGCCAAATCAGCCAGGAGAGGACTTCCCTGTGGGCTTCCTGCTGAGCAGTGTGGAGTAAGAGGACAAGGACCGTTAGGCCTAGGAGCATGGCCCTTAAGGGCAACAGTGTGAGCGAGAGAGGCAATGCCAAGGGTTACGAACATTAACACTAAGAATTTTACAGGTATTTATTCTTTGTGTGTTTGGGGGGCAGATTTAACATGAAAGGTTTCACTAACAACATCCCTTTTCCGAATTCACAGATTTGTGCCGACTAATTGGAATCTTGGGGTTTCTAGTCCCAAAGCTTTGCTTTAGCAAATCTGGGCTGCACACCTTCAGTAAACAGAACCCCACATTTTTTGTCCACAAGAGAACTGAGATTATCTGTAAGGACAAACATACTTACTTGTAGACCTATCTGATAACAAAGCCAATCTACCTAAAGCAAATACTTGCTAAAGTACATAGTCTAAATACTTAACATATGAATTGGGAATTTCATCTTGTATGACATGTCTACTTGTGTATGTTTTTCTTTGTGTCTAATTCATGATATTTTTATATATCTAGTTTCAGTACTGGAAGATGGCTTTGTACATTTTAGGCTTAAGACCAGGTATCCATTTCTTTCGTTACTCATGTTTGTTTTTTTAAAAAATCACTGTTATTTTCACACTTAATTGCGTGTTGCGTGAAATGTATAAAAGAAAAAGGTATATTTTTAATTACTAAGAGAACTAATTATGTCATGATCGAGGCTATTATAGGTCAGTCTTAGACCTCCTTGGTGACCTATGGACACAAAAGCCTAGGCAGCCCCTAATTTCTCCCAACCGTTTGGTTGGAAGTTGGAAAATCCAGATCCTATTACTATAGTGGCACTTGAACGAGGAACAATGCAGGTCTTTGCAGGTATCAGATACAGTAGGTGAAAATGTAGATTAGAAGGGGCAGCTTTTTCATACTCCTTTACTCTCCATTTCAAGGTTTAAGCTTGGAACTTTATATGATGATTTGCACATAGGAATAGTCATATTAAACAGGTCTACTGGGAATTATTATGTTTTAATGTTTTCCCCAGTGTGTTACAATAATTGCAAAGTTGGACTGGGTGGCAAGAAATATGAACAATACTTTCCACACAACATCTGATTTTGTAAAAGGAAGAATGAAGATACCAATGGAACAAAACTACTGAAGAGACCAATACCTCTTCTGATCTGACTTGACAGTGAAATATTTTCTAAAACTAATGTTAGTTTTATTGAGAAGCGCAGTAGTTAAGTGATTAGTAACCTCAGATGCAATTAAGTAAAAGGTGTCCGTTAATGTATCCGCATACACAGCAACTGGTAAAAGTGAGCTGTGTAAGTGGTTTGCTAGATGTACTCACTCCACCACAGCAGGCTCATGAGGGCAGCCTAGGAAGATCGTTTTCTATATTCTCAAATTTAATTAAGGTTTTGTAGATATTTTATAAGTCTTCTGAACATTGTAATACTGTGTGTTCAGTTTTAACATTACCGCTTCCAGATCAGAATCAACTATCGGGATGTGTATTCTTCGAGCTTCGATTTTAGAGTTGTTCAGTGAGACAGTGTTAAGAAATTAAATGGTGGCAGCACAGTGAGTTGGATACAGTGAACTTACTAAGCCCCTTTTCACTTTTGACTAGTTCGTTAGTACATATTCACCCAACTCTTTTAATTTTTGGCAGTCTGTTTTAACAATTTAAAACCAAAAATAAATCTTAGGTTTTGGAGTCTTAAAATACATCTTCAGTTTTTTTTGTGTGTGTGGTAAACAAAAGGAGAGAGGAATTTACTCCCTCATTGTTTATGATAAGGACATTGTAAACTGGAGCAAAGAGCCTGGATTCTCTGGAACATACATGATTGAAACTGGTAAAATCAGAAAGACAGACTAAAGGAGGTCTAAGATTTCAATGTGCAGTGCTTGAAGTGCATGACACCATGCTTTCCTTTTTATATTGAAAATAAATGAGCCAACTTCATTGTTTTAAGTGTTCTGCAACCACTTGATTTTTTTTACTAATTATTTATTACTATGTAATGTCCTTTTTTAAGTATTGCTGCTATCATTATTCCCTTTTTTAAAAAAAGCTGATTGTTTGTGAAAGCTGTACACTAATCTCTTTATTTTATGTACAAATCAAAGTATTTAAAACTGCTGCTATTATGAATTTAGATAAAACCGTAGAAGACAGACAAATGGAGTTAGCAGTGATTGAGGCTAGACCCCGGAGGTCACGTTCATGTTTGTGATATATGCAATAAAAACTGACAACTTTATATACTTGTTTTTGGGTCATCATGTCATTTATTTTACATTAATATGCTTGGAGTTGATCAGGTAGCATTTTTTATTCTGTTTACAAAATGTTAGCACTAATACAGAATGATCAGCTGCCAGCTCACTTAAAGAGCACACACAAAACATAGTCAACAAAGCTAAATAAATACATATAACATGAACATGCACTAATGACAAACTAACTGAGTGAAATAAAATAAAATTAAAAATGTACATTTTGTCATTTCAGATTTATTAAAAAGTGTTTTTGATTCATATGCAACATTTTTCATTCATTTGTTTTTGAGTAAATCTGTAAATCTCAGCATGGAGTGTAAGATTTACAATCATCATTTCTTTAACATTTTCTACAAGTAGAGGGGGGAAAAGTAAATAAAAAAAAAAAGAGGCACGGTTGAAGAATGTGGAATTGTTCCGTTTATCCACAAAATATTTAAAATGTCTTGAGCTGATCAACACTAACTTGTTTTCACTTTGAAGAAAAGCTTTTGTGTTACTCTTGCTTTGTCTTTGTAATGCCTAAACATTTCCTACAAAGAAGTTGTAATAAAATCCAAAATACAAAAAAAAATAATACTGACCCAATTAACAGGAATGTTATGACATCCAGCATGTAGTACTGGTAGAAAGCCAGATCGTGTCCGGCTGCTCTAAGGTGGCTAGCACCTTTGTAACGCATTACATACTCGATCCAAAACACAGCGAGTTCCTTGGGGGACACTGGTGTGTCCCTGTGGACCTGAGACAGCTTTTTCATATTTGTCCAATAAGATGGGTCTTCTGTAATAGTCCGAACAGCTTTGTAGATGTCATGCCTTGTCAGACGGTTAAGATTTTCTAGTATAATGGCTGCCCCTTTAACTTTAAGTCGCAGAAGATTTTCGTAGTTGTCGGCAAAAAGTGGGAATCCAATTACTGGGACTCCATGATAGATTGCTTCATAAATTCCGTTTTCTCCTCCATGTCCTATGAAGGCCTTGGTGTTGGGGTGGCTTAGGAGATCATTTTGGGGCAGCCACCTCAGAACCTTGGTGTTGTTTCCTAAAGTAGAAATTGGAGGTCCAGTGTATCTCCAGATAACTTTCTGTGGGACTTGTGCTAAGCCAGATGCTATTTCTGTGGCCACATTTTCGGGCAAGGTTTTGATTATGGTTCCTAGAGAGAAAACAACAATGCCATCTTCGCCAGCATTATCCATGAAGGCTTGAAGGTCTGGAGGCAGGGGTTTTGGAGATCTACACTGAAATCCCCCTATATAAATAGAGTTGGGCATGATTGGCCTCATAAATTCAAAAGCAAAGTCCACTTTCATCAGATAGATGTCAGCTTTTTTATAAAGTTCGTATATGCTCTCATCCGTTTCTAGATAGCGCTGACACAGTGCATTGTAAGTTGAGTATATAAAGATATGGTTTAGAAAGTTTCCAAAACTGTACATGAGAACATTTTTAAGTCTTTCAAAAAATGTCATTCTGTCCGTTAACCTGGAGTGCAGCACAGGGATGTAGGAGAGAGGTGATGGAGCAATGGTGAAGTGTATGTCTTCAGTTGGCATCCACCGCCCAAAAAGTACTATCGGTAATTTTAGATGGCGTGCTATCATCAGCCCCCCTGGGTAAAATGGGTCTGCTAGGACAAGGTCAAAACTGGCATCTTTAAGTTGCTTTAGGAGTGTGTGGTTCTCAAAAACAGTTTCAATGGCAATCTTGTAGTCCTGACTAACTCTCCTGATTGAGATGAAAAGATCCCAAAATGCTGAAAGAGACTGGCTTTCTTTGTTAAAAGCGTTGTGAAGGATCCAGGAGAGAGCTGTTTTTTCTCTTTCTTCCATGGTCCTGGCTTTCTGTCCTGGGAGCTCAACTGTGATGATTTGAAAATCTGGGGACTTGTCTTCTGCGTACATGGCGTTGGAGGATCTTAACACTGTTACTTCGTGGCGTCTCCCCACGAGCTCCATTATCAGAACTTTAACGACATTCCAGTGACTCCCATCCACAGGCACTACCAATATTTTACCTGCATCCACAGGTCTATTATTTAAAATAAAAACAGTGCAAAAGCAACAGCAGATGAACAATGAGAAAGCGTTTTGTGCCATTCCTTTTGTTAGGTATGACCTAAGTCCCAGGTTTGGATTTTCTTGCTTGAGCACGGAACAGCACTGCCTCGTACAAGTCCTGCAGTCCTAATGGATCATGTTTTCTTTGCGTGTCTGCTTTTCAGTCCAGGAAGTCCTTTTTTTCTGTTCTCTTAACGCTCACGTGGCTAGTGTGTAAACAGAATTATCATGTTCAGTTGCACATAGTTTCAATTTTTCAGCAAACTGTCTTGACAATTTATGAATTCTGAGTCAAAGATGTGTTGTTTCCAAAACCACACCTAGTATAGAGAGTATTGCATTTGAGGGTTGTTTTTCAGCAATCAATATGTGTCCTTGTCTTCCATTGATTACAGGATAAAACTGTATATTATGAAAAAGAAAAAAGCATGTAAATGGAGTTTTATAAACTTTAAATTAGTTTTCTCTGCAAGTCTATGTTGCTGATTATAGGTAGAAGCTCCCCATTGAGCTACAGTCATTTGTTAACTTAATTTTGGTTTGGGTTTGATGAAGCCTGCTAGCATACTAAAGTCTGTTAATGCATTTTTCCTGTCTCATGTCTTTCTTGTTTCTTTTCTCCTTGGATGTTTACAGAGAGTACTACTCTCTGTTCAGTTAGTTGTTAGCCAAGCTAAAAACTATTCACCAAAAGGAGCTAATCTGTCCTGCAAACAGGAAATGTACTTGGAGGGAGTGCATTATAATTTAAGATCACTGCTTCCTTTTTTTATCTTAGATTAAGCGTCCTCTCACAATCCTGACAACGTTCCCTTATCTCCCCTTTTCAGAAGTATTTATTTTTACAGTATGTAGACAAAGTTTGTTAAAAATAAATGTATCAAAGCATAGTGAACAACTAAACCTGATGTCGAAAGTGACAGAGAAATGCACATACCTTTTAGAACATGAGGAAGAAAGTTTCACAGGTCGCAATCTCATAGTAATTACTGCAGAGCTCCAAGACAGTATTATTCAGAAGACTCTGGTCATTACCAATTAAAATTGATGAACAGCTGCAAGAAAGAGGAAAGTTATTCCTTACATAATTGTTTTCTGATTTTATTTTTTAATCCTCAGTTTTTGAGTAAAGACTCTTGTTTCCGATTGAAACCTCAAAACCATATTCCCTGGAAAGGGAAATATGTTCAAATATATACTCCCTTTAAAAAATATTGAATTGCAGTGATATCTCAACCAAGAAAAAAAAAACAGGTACAAATTCAGATCATTATAACATATATGTCAATTAAAGCAGAATAAACTAAAATCATCTTAATCATTTTAAATAATTAAAACGTTCAGGGGAACACGATTCTAAGGCTTATTTCAAAGAATGCAGCAGAGTGGCAGAGGTGGGAAAAACAATTACAACAAACCAAACTGGAATCCTTAACCCCCTCCCTTACTCCTGCATCGACACGTGTTTCTGCTACCAACTCCCAAGCCGGCAAAACGTTCAAGGTTAGAAAAACAGACCACGTTCTTCTGGTGAAGCCTCTTGAATAAGCAGACTATTTGCATATTTACTTGGAAATCTGTAACTGTGTGGAAGTGGCACTGAGTGCTGTTGAATTTCTGTGAAAGCAATGCAGGAGAGGAAACAATTCAACACACAGGCTTTCCATGGAGTATTTCTACAGGGGTTTTCTGTATAAAAATGAGTGTAAAGATATGATTTATTAAATTTCCACTCCATCACCCCACCCTGTTGGGTGAAGCCTAGGAACATAGGAATGCTTCCTTACATTGCTCGGAACATATTACACAGTCTTGTTTTTTATACAGTCTTGTGTTAAATAGAGATTAGGATTACACAGAAACTGGACATCCCGGTCAAACACTTCCCCAAATCACACAAAATTGGAGCCTTTTGTAAACTGAGCATTACAAAATGAATACGTTTCAACTAAACATAATAATAGCATGCCAGTTTGAAGGAATGCTTGAGGTTGTAGTAACTGCTAGAAGTTAAATATTTAAGGCTAATTTTTTTGGCAGCACTGCTGAGTCTGTACCTACTTTGCAGCTGTCAGCGTGCTGCAAAGCCTGTTGGTCGTCTCTAACACAAGTGTTGAAAATCCCGAGGAAAATGGCACAGATCCGAGAAGAACAGCCTTGCAGCTTCCGGGAGCCTTTGGCACAAGAAAAGGACGACGCCACGGTACAAGTTTTGTCAATTCAGCAATGTCGAGCTGCTGAAAGGCAGACAGGCAGAGATCAGGCCTCTTAGGTTGAGAATCGGCTGTGGGAGATGTTGGGAAGCTGGAATGCTGACAACAGCCCCAGAGGGGACAGCCATGTTTACAGTCTCATAGAACAAAGACAAAGGAGGCCATCAGAGACTAGTCAAATCCTGATGTCTGCTTTCAGAGAGTTTTCTCTCTCCAGTGGCCATGTGTCACAGCACTTAGGGATCCAGGCTGTATTTGTAATTGTCACACACGAATGGAGTAAAGTTAGGGAAAGTCATGAAGTAAAAATGATGGTGCAAATAATTAAGATATTATCACAAACTGGATGGGGGGGGGGGCACTCGCATGGAATTCAATTGAGCTCTAATACCAGTTGACATTGATAGAAGATATAAATTGACACCTTGACATCAAGGTCAAATAATAAAACACCCCTAGACCAGGTGTGAGCCTGGTCAGTACCTGGATGGGAGACCTCCTGGGAAAAACTAAGGTTGCTGCTGGTAGAGGTGTTAGTGGGGCCAGCAGGGGGTGCTCACCCTGCGGTCTATGTTGGTTCTAATGGCCCAGGATAGTGATGGGGACACTATACTGTAAACAGGCGCTGTCCTTCAGATGAGACGTAAAACCGAGGTCCTGACTCTCTGTGGTCATTAAAAATCCCAGGGCGTTTCTCGAAAAGAGTAGGGGTG